CGCCGGCAAACCTACGGTTTCCGAAAGGCAAACTTTGGCCGAGCAACACGGAGTCCCGTTCTATGTCGAGTCACCCGAGGAGGTGAACGACTACCTCTGACTCGCCTCGAAACCATTACCACCCCCTCGGGAAATCGATTGGTCCATCCTCAGCGACCTCTACCTCACTGAAGAGGTCAACCAGATTCTTGCATTGCTCGGTCTCACCTTTTTTGAGACACTCGTCCACGAGTCCCACAAGGCCCTCACACTTGAGTTCTTTTCCACCGTTAAGATGCACGACAACGGTAGATACCTCACGGCTCGTCTCAAGGGAAAGGAATACCAAATCACAGACGAGGTATTAAATGAACAATTCAAATTGGAGCTCAAAAATGCCGTTCATCATAGTCCGATGGGATGGTGGGCGGCTCCATATTGGCCTAGAATCTCTCCATGCCCGACATTATAGAGACGAGGTGCTTCCTTAGGCTGCATAACCGATGTAGCTTTGGGAATTGTTCACAAGTACATTTGCCACATGATATTTGGCAAACAGAAGAGTAATAAGGTGAGCGAGCAACAAGTGTTCATCATGCATTCCATCTCCAACGATCAACCCGTTACTATGCTTCAGTACTTGAAAAATTCTCTGTACGAGCTCAGGAACGGCGATAGGCGTGGCCCTAACTTGGGCCATATCGTCACAACTATTGCGGGCCATTACCGAGTGCCGGTTGATGATATAGATAACACTATTGGCTCCGTGATGATATCGGAGCGGGACCTCTACAAAGCCCAATTTATATATGATCGGTACAACATTTGCAACGTTATAGATAGGAAGAGTTATAAAGAGTACAGGAAGGCGTTGAATCGGAAGGGTAAATACACCGGCTCATGAAATGCGGCTCCACAGTTGCCCGTTTCGCATGACAGCTACGATGAAGTTACCGAAGCCGACGACCAATCTATTCCCGAGGCACATCAGCCCCCTCCATTTACCGAGCATGCTCCGAGCATGCTCCGACTTGGTTGGAGGTCCCACGCCCACATTGAAAAGATAATGATGTATCTCTTTTCTTCTTATGAAGACTGTGAAAAGATAATGATGTATTTATAATTAGGTCAAACCTAATTATATAGGTCGTAGAAGATCCTATGGCTCAATAGATAACTGGATTTAATCCAATAACAATCTAATTAAGTGTAAATCCAATTTAACTTAAGAAAAAAATTTATTAAATAGACAACAATCTCATTACTCATAAATAACTATTCCAATCTAATTGAATATTTAACACACTTGATTCACTCTTGGTCGAAAAATTGATTCTATATTGTGTGACCCTTTAAGCTTTCATATATTGAAATAAATTTAATTTATGATCCTTACGAAATTTCTAGACTGTGTCGAAGGACGAACTCAAAATATAAAGTATGTTTACGTGGACAAAGCAAACAAATCTTTTAGTGTAGAACTCAATGGTGATAAGGTCCATTCATTCGCGGACCACTCGATTAATCTCAGGACATGAATGTGTGTCTATCCACAAATCTTAAGCATTTTATATCATGTTACTGGTTGATTATAATTGATTATATTTTAACACAATTTCAAATATAATCACGTGCATTGTCCAATGACTTTAACAACCAAGTATAGAGAAAGTGAGTGTTCTCTCGAAACTATATTCGAGGAATGAATCCTATCTTGGCTCAACTACCAATTCCATTCATATCATGATCTACCCAACATAAGCCTGTTTCTACCCCGTAAGGAGCGTATTGGTCTATGTCTAAGTAAATCACTCTATACTTGAATTATGTATTGACCTCAAGTCAAAGGATATTACACCATTCACACCGATACTCCAATAGACACATAAACAAATGGTTTATCGGTAGGGTATACCAGTACTCTCCGAAGTATCTATGTGTCCATCACGAATAACAATTATTCATAGTGGTGAGACATACTATATTATTCAAGAATATGATGTAGACCACATGTCAATCTATCGCGTACCATTAATATCTATTTCTTAATGATCATCGACGAGGCGTTTTGAGAGTTATACTTTTATCAATTAACATTTCACTCTGTTAATGACAATATCACCTCAAGGGAGCAATTTATAAATAAATTACAAACAATGAAACAATTATTTAATTCATTACAATACTATAATTATAATCCAATATACTATTGATGTGATAATGTATATATATATATATATATATATATATATATATACTAGTACATCCCCGTGCGATGCACTAGACATAGCTTTTAAATGAGTTAGTTTCACAGGCTCTGCCCATTTAAGTTTAAAAGCATTAGGATTTTTATTTATTTTCCACTTTTTTAAATCAACATTGAGTGAAAAAAAGGATTATAATCTATTTTTTTACCTCTTTTAATCAGCGTTGTTTTTTTAGCCATAACATTAAATATGAACATGTTATTGATAATTTGTAATATCACTAACATATTTATACTAATATAAATTTGATTTTAGTATATATATTTATTCCTTTATATTAGAGAAAATAACAGTTTTACTTATTTTTGTTCACCACATAATACTTAATTATTATTTTATTATAAACTTTGTTTTCATATAATCATCATTATTATTAATTAAAGTTGTACGTCATCTTTTTCTTTTAACTTTATGTAATGAAAAATATTTAATGCACATTATTATTTATTTACGTAATCAATTTAAAATATGTAAATAAATTTAAATTGAAATATTGTATAAATATTTTACATAATATACACATATGTTTTTGTTAGAATTTAATTTTATATACTAATTAAACAACTTTGATTTAGCAAACGCTAGAAACTCAATCCCTGCTAATCAAGATTTTCTAATTTGCATTATAAGTATTTATAGTTTATTTAGCATACTCTGCAATGAAATTATATTTACAAGAATCTCATTATAGAAAGAAACCAAAATAAAAAATAACAAAAAAATCATGGTTGACATTAACATACAAATAAATACAAAGTCTTCAATATTTTATAGTTATCATAGCTTTTTTTCAATACCGATGAAAAATTGTCCTCGGAGAGGATCACCCTAAGGAAAGATGTGACAACAAATTCTAAAGAACGTTTAATATATTTTATTTTTTATTTTTAACCATTAGTAAAACTATTTAATGTATTTGGTCATTATTCTCAAATAGTAAATTATATTAAATTCAAGAATAATTTATTTTTTACATATAACGAAATAAAGCTTAAGAAAAAATTATGTTGATAAATATTAATTCACCATCTTGATTTCTCGTGATTAATTGGAAGAAAAAATTCTACCTAGCATGTTACGATTAAAGTGAATATTTGTGAAAAAAATTAATATTATGGTTAGAACTCAAAATATGTTATCCCCCTATTCCCCCTATATATTAATCCAAAACGCACTGAGCCTACGTGGCTGCTTCTGGTGCTTTGGAATCACATGTGGCAAAATTACATGCTTTGTTATTAGGCTTGAGTAAATTTTAATTTGATTCCAAACAAAAAATAATTAGGTTCGGATTACCATAAATATATTATTTATTTATGGTCATGTTACATGTATTAATTTCATTTTAATATCATTCCTTATTATAACTATTGAATTTTATATTTACTTTAAAAGTTAATAACTTTTGTATTTTTTATCAGTTTTACATATGTAATATATCAAATTAATCTTCTTTTGATGAGTTTCGATTTAACATCCATATTGTATGTATAAAAAAAGTAATTTATATTTATCTTTATAACAATAATAAAATTATTTTTAATAGTAATTAGAAAAATAAAATTATTTATCAACCAATATATTTATATTTCAAGTAGTTATATGATATAAGTTATAAAAACTGATATAATATAACACATGTAAGTCATAAGTAACACATATCATCCTAAAATATATAATAATATATTTTTTTTGTAAGAAAGTAAACTAAATTTAATATAGTTTTCTTATTAATTTTAAAATTTAAGAATAATTTTTTAACAAGCACCCGTGTAATACACAGGTGTTGTACTAGTAATATTTATCTTGACCAAAATATTATCAACATGAATCACGAAAAATCAATCTTGTAACTTATTATAATGGATATCAATAAAATCCAAAAAAATTTTTACTTCAATCTTGTAACTTATTACCAAAAAAATGTATGTATTAAATGCTTCTAAAATTTTTACTACTATTTTTAGTAGATGATTATTATATTATATGTAGATATAGATATGTCATAAAAAAGATTGTCTCTAGGCACATATATCAACAACTTTTACATCAAATCAACTTTAATTATTTTGTTATAACTCAATATCCCACAAATATTAACAATCCCATCCTTTTCACATTTAATTATAATTAACAGAAAAAACCAATCAAAACCAAATAAAATCCAGATCAATTCACACCTTTAATATTACACAAACCATCACTCAAAAAGAAATTTGGGACTCGGAATTGTGTTAAAATGTGTTTACTAAATACACTTATCTATTTATCGATTCAGAATCAGATTGATCTACATTTTACCATGAAGAAAAAAACATTTTACACAGACAAAAAAAAAACGACAAATAGAAAATAAAGAGAGCTGATGAAGAAAAATGGAACTGAAGTTGATACCTTGGTGCATAATAATCCAAAAAGATTTATAGGGAGATTGTAATATTTAGTAAGAAAAACGAAAATGTATATAGATTGCTTTAAGTTCCCTAGCCGGTCGACAGAACGACCTTAACTCATTCAACGGAATTTACAGCAAAAATAACGCCAAGTGGTACCAGAGCCTCCGAGCACACGAGTCAACTCACAATCTTGAATTATACGACGATTGATCAACCGGGTACCAATTCCAAAATCAACAAGTCCAGATATATTCAAGAAGCCAAACAGTCCCTCAATGTAGTTTCCATCTCATGTAAATATGTTTTATATAATATGAGTGCTGATAGAATAGAACATATCACCATAGACTTTAGTGTCTTAACTGGACAGTACAGGGACGATGAGAGGCTTTCCCCTGCCCATCGTGAAGCCTCTTGTGCCATCAGGCATTCTTGGGCCCTTCTTGGGCTGCTGGCCCGGACACGAGCCCATCGAGTGTGACGATGGTGTGGGCAGGCTTCGGGCCCCCTGAAGTGGACGGTGCTTGGACTTGGCCCTGTTTCTACTCCAACTTCTCTTTGAATTGTCATCCGACTGCATAATACAAAATAAATTAATCATTACCATTATATCATATGTCTTTGTTTTTGTTGTCTTTTACGGAAAAATTATATATGGAGAAAAATATGAACTTAATGATGTGCAAATGTACCTCGGTTTCTGAGGTGTTATACCGAGAGGTATCTTCTGGTGAATGATGGGTCGGCCCATTGTCGTCTACACAAGCATCAAAAGTTTCGGGCTTTCGGCTCTTCACCACAGTCTTAGGTTGCGGGTTACTCTTTACTACCCCAAATATGTTATTGTTAGCTAAGAGGAAAAGATTGATGAATGAATTCATAATATACGTTTGTGATATTAACGAGTGTTGTACTATCGTACCGAACGCTTAAGCATAAGCCTCACTCGCATGCCTTTTCTCCAGTTCCCTTCATCGTTTAACTTCTCTGCCTAACGAGATCAAAGTTTTTTTTTTTAAATATTTATTAAAAGTGTTAATAAAACCAAACATCATACAGTTGCGTTTTATTCAGAAAAAAATTAAAAAGCTTCTGATTAAAAGGATTGCACGGTGAAAACACACCGCTTTCTCAGCTGTTTCAGCAGTCTCATACTCTACCAGCGCATGGAGCTGCGACAATAAATATGGACACCATGCAAATCAAAATAAAGGAATAAGTTAAAATAAATAGTGTCGGAAACTTATGCGCACTGCATATAAGTTTTGCCACCTTATGACTGACAACTACATCAGACTTGTTAGACCGCGAAGCATTGTGTTCCTGTGGCTGGCATATTCTAATAGACTTGATGCTGCATAAAAATTAAAACATATCGGTTATACTTAACTCATGCATCGTAAATACGTTCTTTGGTATACAAGAAAATTCGAACTTTAATGAGCAATCCAAAAATATTGTTCTAGTTATTCCCACCTCCCGACCACATTAAACATTTTCTCGATTTTCTGATGAGAGTGGTCGTCCGGTAGGTTTTCGGCTATAACTGTCCTCATCTGCATACAACATGTCAACAATGAAACTTGTATTATAATGTCATCATATGCATTTACTTGATCATATGTATAGTGTTAATATATATATCACACCTGTAGCTCCTCTTTTTCTTTCTCGGTGAAGGGGATCTTCCGTTTCACCTTCTTGCCGTCACTACTCACTACCTACACACACATTTTTCGAGCATTCATACAAAATCAAGTGATTATATTATACTGTCATCAAATGACTAACCAATTTAGAAGACAAACGAAGGGCCTGCGCCACCATCTGATTGTTCACGTTCATCGATTTGAGCTTCTTCAGAGTCGAGACGAAATTCATTGGAACTGTTTTAAATACATCAATAACATTGCATATTAATAAAAGATAATAATTTATTAATTTAAAAAAAAAAAAGTCTT